CCACCACTGCTGATATGCTCATACTGCTGTCCTAGTTGGGTGTGATTGCTGCAAGGCTGTTACCCAGAGCTGGAAGAGTAGCAACACAAAAAAGAAATAGCATTGGCCGGGAATCGGACCCAGGTCTACCGCGTGGCAGGCAAGAAGTCTACCAGTAAACCACCACTGCTGATATGCTCATGCTGCTCTCCTAGTGGGGTGTGATTGCTGCAAGGCTGTTACCCAGAGCTGTAAGAGTAGCAACACAAAAGAGGATTTGCATTGGCCGGGAATCAGACCCGGGTCTCCCGCGTGGCAGGCGAGAATTCTACCATCGTACCACCAATGCTTATATGCTTATACAACTGTCCTAGTGGGGTGTGATTGCTGCAAGGCTGTTACCCAGAGCTGGAAGAGTAGCAACACAAAACAGGGTTTGCATTGGCCAGGAACCATACCAGGGTCTCCCATGTGGCAGGCGAGAATTCTACCACTGAACCACCAATGCTGATATGCTCATACTGCTGTCCTAGTTGGGTGTGATTGCTGCAAGGCTGTTACCCAGAGCTGGAAGAGTAGCAACACAAAAGAGGATTTGCATTGGCCGGGAATCGGACCCAGGTCTCCCGAGTGGCAGGCGAGAATTCTACCACTGAACCACCAATGCTTATATGCTTATACAACTGTCCTAGTGGGGTGTGATTGCTGCAAGGCTGTTACCCTGAGCTGGAAGAGTAGCAACACAAAACAGGGTTTGCATTGACCAGGAACCGGACCAGGGTCTCCCACGTGGCAGGCGAGAATTCTACCACTGAACCACCAATGCTGATATGCTCATACTGCTGTCCTAGTTGGGTGTGATTGCTGCAAGGCTGTTACCCAGAGCTGGAAGAGTAGCAACACAAAAAAGAAATTGCATTGGCCGGGAACCGGACACAGGTTTACCGCATGGCAGGCAAGAAGTCTACCAGTGAACCACCACTGCTGATATGCTCATACTGCTCTCCTAGTGGGGTGTGATTGCTGCAAGGCTGTTACCCAGAGCTGGAAGAGAAGCAACACAAAAAGGGAACTGCGTTGGCCAGGAATCAGACCCAGGTCCCCTGTGTGGGAGGCGAGAATTCTACCACTAACCCACAAATGCTGATATGCTCATACTGCTGTCCTAGTGGGGTGTGATTGCTGCAAGGCTGTTACCCAGAGCTGTAAGAGTAGCAACACATTACAGGGTTTGCATTGGCCAGGAACCAGACCAGTATCTCCCACAAGGCAGGCGAGAGTTCTACCACTGAACCACCAATGCTGATATGCTTACACTGCTGTCCTAGTGGGGTGTGATTGCTGCAAGGCTGTTACCCAGAGCTGGAAGAGTAGCAACACAAAAGATGAATTGCATTGGCCGGTAATCGAATCCGGGTCTCCTGCGTGGGAGGCGAGAATTCTACTACTGAACCAACAATGCTGATATGCTCATCCTACTGTCCTAGTGGGGTGTGATTGCTGCAAGGCTGTTACCCAGAACTGGACGAGTTGCAACACAAAACAGAAATTGCATTGGCCAGAAATCGGACACAGGACTCGCGCGTGGGAGGCGAGAATTCTACCACTGAACCACCAATGCTGATATGATTATACAACTGTTCTAGTGGGGTGTGATTGCTGCAAGGCTGTTACCCAGAGCTGAAAGAGTAGCAACACAAAACAGGATTTGCATTGGCCGGGAATCGGACCCGGGTCTCCCTCGTGGCAGGCGAGAAATCTACCACTGAACCACCAATGCTGATATGCCTAAATTGTTGCCCTAGTGGGGTGTGACTGCTGCAAGGCTGTTACCCAGAGCTGGAAAGGAAGCAACACAAAAGAGGATTTGCATTGGCCGGGAATCGGACACGGGTCTCCCGCGTGGCAGGCGAGAATGCTACCACTGAACCACCAAAGCTGATATGCTCATACATCTGTCCTAGTGGGGTGTGATTGCTGCAAGACTGTTACCCAGAGCTGGAAGAGTAGCAACACAAAAGAGGGTTTGCATTGCCCAGGAACCAGACCAGGGTCTCTCACGTGGCAGGTGAGAATTCTACCACTGAACCACCAATGCTGATATGCTCATACTGCTCTCCTAGTAGGGTGTGATTGCTGCAAGGCTGTTACCCAGAGCTGGAAGAGTAGCAACACAAAAAGGGAACTGCGTTGGCCGGGAATCGGACCCAGGTCTCCTGTGTGGGAGGCGAGAATTCTACCACTGAACCTCCTTTGCTGATATGCTCATACTGCTCTCCTATTAGGGTGTGATTGCTGCAGGGCTGTTACCCAGAGCTGGAAGATTAGCAACACAAAACAAGAATTGCATTGGCCAGGAATCGGACCCGGGTCTCCCGCGTGGGAGGCGAGAATTTTACCACTGAACCATTAATGCTTATATGCTCATGCTGCTGTCCTAGTGGGTTGTGATTGCTGCAAGGCTGTTACCCAGAGCTGGAAGAGTAGCAACACAAAAAAGAAATTGCATTGGCCGGGAATCGGACCCAGGTCTACCGCGTGGCAGGCAAGAAGTCTACCACTGAACCACCAATGCTGATATGCTCAAACATCTGTCCTAGTGGGGTGTGATTGCTGCAAGGCTGTTACCCAAAGCTGGAAGAGAAGCAACACAAAAAGGAAACTACGTTGGCCAGGAATCAGACCCAGGTCTCCTGTGTGGGAGGCGAGAACTCTACCACTAACCCACCAATGCTGATTTGCTCATACTGTTGTCCTAGTGGGGTGTGATTGCTGCAAGGCTGTTACCCAGACCTGGAAGAGTAGCAACACAAAAAGGGAACTGCGTTGGCCGGGAATCGGACCCAGGTCTCCTGTGTGGGAGGCGAGAATTCTACCACTGAACCTCCAATGCTGATATGCTCATACTGTTCTCCTATTAGGGTGTGATTGCTGCAAGGCTGTTAACCAGAGCTGGATGATTAGCAACACAAAACAAGAATTGCATTGGCCAGGAATCAGACCCGGGTCTCCCGCGTGGGACGCGAGAATTGTACCACTGAACCATTAATGCTGATATGCTCATGCTGCTGTCCTAGTGGGTTGTGATTACTGCAAGGCTGTTACCCAGAGCTGGAAGAGTAGCAACACAAAAAAGAAATTGCATTGGCCGGGAATCGAACCCAGGTCTACCGCGTGGCAGGCAAGAAGTCTACCACTGAACCACCAATGCTGACATGCTCAAACATCTGTCCTAGTGGGGTGTGATTGCTGCAAGGCTGTTACCCGGAGCTGGAAGATTAACTACACAAAACAGGAATAGCATTGGCTGGGAATCAGACCCAGGTCTCCCGTGTGGGAGGCGAGAATTCTACCACTGAACCATTAATGCTGATAAGCTCATGCTGCTGTTCTAGTGGGTTGTGATTGCTGCAAGGCTGTTACCCAGAGCTGGAAGAGTAGCAACACAAAAAAGAAATTGCATTGGCTGGGAATCAGACCCAGGTCTACCGCGTGGCAGGCAAGAAGTCTACCACTGAACCACCAATGCTGACATGCTCAAACTTCTGTCCTAGTGGGGTGTGATTGCTGCAAGGCTGTTACCCGGAGCTGGAAGATTAACTACACAAAACAGGAATAGCATTGGCCGGGAATCAGACCCAGGTCTCCCGTGTGGGAGGCGAGAATTCTACCACTGAACCATTAATGCTGATAAGCTCATGCTGCTGTTCTAGTGGCTTGTGATTGCTGCAAGGCTGTTACCCAGAGCTGGAAGGGTAGCAACACAAAAACGGATTTGCATTGGCCAGGAATCTGACCCAGGTCTCCCGCATGGCAGGCGACAATTCTACCAGTGCACCACCACTGCTGATATGCTCATACTGCTGTCCTAGTTGGGTGTGATTGCTGCAAGGCTGTTACCCAGAGCTAGAAGAGTAGCAACACAAAAGAGGATTTGCATTGGCCGGGAATCGGACCCGGGTCTCCCATGTGGCAGGCGAGAATTCTACCACTGAACCACCAATGCTGATATGCTTATACAACTGTCCTAGTAGGGTGTGATTGCTGCAAGGCTGTTACCCAGAGCTGGAAGAGTAGCAACGCAAAAAAGAAATTGCATTGGCCGGGAATCGGATCCAGGTCTCCCGCTTGGCAGGCAAGAAGTCTACCACTGAACCACCAATGCTGATATGCTCATACATCTGTCCTAGTGGGGTGTGATTGCTGCAAGGCTGTTACTCGGAGCTGGAAGAATAACTACACAAAACAGGAATTGCATTGGCCGGGAATCGGACCCAGGTCTACCGCGTGGCAGGCAAGAATTCTACCACTAAACCACCAATGCTGATATGCTTATATTGCTGCCCTAGTGGGGTGTGACTGCTGCAAGGCTGTTACCCAGAGCTGGAAGAGTAGCAACAAAAAACAGGAATTGAATTAGCCGGAAAACGGACCTCCCGCGTCACAAATGGGATTTTTACGACTGAACCACCAACGCTGATATGCTCATACTGCTGTCCTAGTGGGTTGTGATTGCTGCAAGGCTGTTACCCAGAGCTCAAAGAGTAGCAACATAAAACAGGATTTGCATATGCCGGGAATCGGACCTGGGTCTCCCGCGTGGGAGGCGAGAATGCTACCACTGAACCACCAATGCTGATATGCACATACTACTGTCCTAGTGGGTTGTGATTGCTGCAAGGCTGTTACACAGAGCTGGAAGAGTAGCAACACAAAACAGGATTTGCATTTGCCAGGAACCGGACCCGGGTCTCCCGCGTGGCAGGTGAGAATTCTACCAGTGAACCACCAATGCTGATATGCGCATACTGCTGTCCTAGTTGGGTGTGATTGCTGCAAGGCTGTTACCCAGAGCTGAAAGAGTAGCAACACAAAACAGGAATTGCATTGGCCGGGAATCGGACCCGGGTCTCCAGCGTGGCAGGCGAGAATTCCACCACTGAACCACCAATGCTGACCCATGTTGTTCTTTGCCTTTGTGCTTTGTGGGTCCTAGGAGACAGCTCAAACTAGTCAAGTATGTCAGGTTGGCCGAGTGGACTAAGGCGCTGAGTTCTGGACGCAGTCTCTCCTAGAGGTGTGGGTTCAAACACCACATCTGACAAACCAAATTTTTGGCTACGCGTTCAGGCTCAGTTCTTTAACTCTTTGGCGCCATGTCCGAGTGATACAGTAACACTGACAAAGCACAGCATCAATCTCTTTGAGCCAAAGTTCATGCACCGTAGCAGTGTCCCTGGCAGACTTAATGGGCACTTTAGACTGTAGGTTTTAAGGCGTTTCCGATCAAGGTATTGTCCACAAAAACTCGAAGATGCATATGAAAAAAAAACAATGGACGAAGACTTTAATGCAAGTGAACCGAAAAGGGATCAAAAGAACTGTCTTGGAATGCCATGTAGTGGAATGTTCTGGGATGCCATTGATTTTTAAGGCAATGGGATTCGCAGGACTTTTCGTCAAATCCTCGCACAACGTTAATTCATGACATTTGACAGATCCACGCCGAACGTCAAGCGACAACATGATAGGAATGGAGGCATCTTACCATTATTGCTTCAGACTCAGGAAATGTTCTTGGAACTTCACGCCGCCAGGCCTCCAGAGGAGCTGTAGCTTTTTTCGCCCTGGGGAAGCATGATCCACACGGAAGGGGATAAAAAATGCCACCCAGTCATCTAAGCGCTTCCATGTGCCAAAAGTTAGCACGCCATGTGAGGCTCGATCTCACGACCTTCAGATTATGAGACTGACGCGCTGCCTACTGTGTCAACGAGGCAGACTGCTGGACCTGGGCAAACTGTGAAACACCAGCTTCCATGTCACGGTGCTGCGGTCTGGCTTGTAGGAGACAGCTCATACCAGTCAAGCATGTCAGGATGGCAGAGCGGTCTAAAGCGCATTGTTCAAGCTGGGGAAAAATTGTCCAATAAAGAAGGGCAAGAAGGGAAGAAAGGTGGGAAGAAAGAAAGAGAAAAAGGGAAGAAGAGGGGGAAAAATGAAGAAAAGAAAGGGTGAATTCTAAGCTTCCCAGACACGCCTTCCCTGCACCTGCTTTACATCACGCATAGTGATACTGTTCTGTGTTAAAACAATGCAATTTGAGTTACATTGATTTCTATTGCAAGTGCTCACCAAGACCGGTGTTCGAATCCAGCTAAAGACACTTTATTGTTATTGGTTAATTATTACTCAATAAACTAACTGTTTGAATGTGTAATGCTCCAAGGTAAATAAAATATGCCTAAGCACTTTATTCTTGTGTTTTTTGACATTATTTCATGAAAAATAAAGCATACCAACTTGAATGTGTCATTATTTAGTAGTTGTTGTAGCATTATGCTTATGGTTATTATTGTTTTGTATTTTAATGTACAAATGATCTATAGAAATGTCATAGAGTATATAGTGAACACACACATATACATATACATATATATATATATATATATATATATATATATATATATATATATATATATATATATATATGTGTGTGTGTGTGTGTGTGTGTGTGTGTGTGTGTTGTGTGTGTGTGTGTGTATAGTGTGCATAGTGTATTTGGAATTAAAAGTCAAGTAGTCAGTTATTTATATATGCATTATTTATCTAACAATTGTCAACAGAACAGTAATGAATATAGAGTAGAAAATGTAAAAATAGTAAATTAGTTATTAATAATACAGTATTAACAATATAAATAAACAATGTTAATAAAATGTTAAATACAAACATTGAATAAAAAATGAACATGGAATAAAAAATCTTAAAAATTAAATGTTAAATATTAACAGAATAAATACAAAATTAACAAATTAAATAAAATGTTAAATAAATTTAGAAACCAAAACAATAAGTGAAATAGAATAAATTTAACTATTATGGTTGTAACCTGTATACACTTTATACACACACACACATATAAATAATAAATAAGTTAAATAAAATGTCAACAAAATAAATGAACTATTTAAATAAAAAGTGCAATAGCAAAGTGATAGCTAAAAAGGATAAATAGAAATATTAATTTAGAATCACAGATGACTTATTTAAGCGCAATAGCCCAAATACTTGTCATAAAATAATAATATTAACAATCATAATAATAATTTAAATGATGAAATTATATAATCTATGCCAATCCTGACATAGCTGCGTTTAAATAATAACTGAAGACGCTCCTTTAATGCAATTCGCATGTTATGTTTAAATTATTTTAAATTAGACGCCCCATCCATAACCAACCTTAAATCATACCTGAACTCTGTTTAACATTTCCAAGTAAACTGTTTTGTGTGACATTCTCATAAAATCTCTCTGCTTTTGAATATCTTTGTTCGTAATTGTTCTTAGCCCTGTCAATGTTTATCTATTTTGTATTATTATTATAATATTTCCTCTCCTGTTTCTCTTACGTTTATATTCTTTAGCTGTCAATATAATACTTCGCGTCTATGGAAGAAAGAGTCAATAAAGATAGACAATGTGTAACATCATATTCATCAAAAGACGGTTTATGTGCAAGTAACCGCACCGGTCCGAGCAGGGAGCGAGCCGGCATGGGAGACAAGCTCCGATAAGATTGCAGAACAACGTCTGTCCCTGGCTGGGATCCGAGGAGTGGGACTCTTTTCAGCCCTGGAGTTTTAAGCCTCAGACCGGCCCACCTCAGTTCACCACTGACTATATTAAAATTAGGTTATTTCCAATTCAGTTTCTAATTAGACTATCACGTCTTTTTTTGAGAAAACAGCACTTTTAGAACTTCAAATGTTCAACAACCCTTACAGTATTATGTCTTAACAATAAAAATGAAAAAAAAAAAAAAACTGTTATTTAGACAAGCACCGAACCCAGGTTGGCCGCGTCATATTCTAACGAACTACACACTGTACCAGAACAGCTGTATGTTGAATAGTGACTTATCTAGTTATATCATCAGCACGAGGCTACGAGAAAATAGATAAAAAGAGCAGAGCTGCAGTAAAATAATGAATAAGAAGGCTGTGGTCAAGTAAATAAATAAATAATTTTTAAAAAGTGTGACTGCTGAGAGCAACAGATTCTGGAACTAGGGACACCGGCCCTCGCGGCCAAAAAACGGACCGGCTCACCGGGAATTCTCCCGGTCCTCCCGATTAGCCAATCCGGGCCTGATCCGAGGAGTGAGCTTTACGCGATCACCAGCTGGCCTCCGTTACATAAGGGCAAATATAGATGACTAAAACCTCATTTACTCATTTTACTTATACTTTTTATCATTTATAATGTCCAAGGCATTGATATTAATATTAAATACTACTTTTGTTCCTTTATTAGCCTTTTCTCGCCTGTTTACTGGGTTAAAAATCTTACATTATTCCATCTCTACCTGCTGGTGAAAGCTAGAGCAGCTGGCGATCTTCACTCTGCAATCTATTGCTTCTCCTGCAGTTCCCGGATGTAATGTTGAATTTTATCAGTCGAATTTGATCCACTGAATTTATGGAAGCGAATATTTGAACTGAAATAAAATGAACTGAAAATTACCTTTTGAATATTATACATCGTATTTTTAAAGGGTATTGAATATTTTGTAAGTGAAATCTGAAAATTGAATATGAATTATTGAATTTTTAAGTATGAAAACGTGTTTAAAATATTTTTCGTTGAAATATTCACAGCTTAAATAAACAGATATGTTAAATTTCAGGACCTAAAAATACAAACCCTGGAATTCAAGTCAATAAAATGCAAGAACTTGTAAATACGGTGTATTATTTTTTTCAGTTTGTGATATTCAACAAGCTTTTTAATTCAAGACATTTGGCATTGATTTTGTTCCATAGCTTCTTTCATAAAATTGGCAACAAACATTTTACTTACAAATTGTAAATGTAGGTTAGTTTATAATATTGTATCAATAGTATGAGAGGACTAGTTACCTACCTATCTCACTCACTATCCTTCAGCTTAGTCCCTGATTTATCAGGGGTTCCTACAGCAAAATGAACCGCCAATTATTCCAGCATATGTTTAACACAGCAGATACCCTTCCAGCTGCAACCAAGTACTGGGAAACACCCATTCACACACACACTTATACACTACTGCCTATTTAGTTACCTATTATTCCCCTATACTGCGTGTATTTGGACTGTGGTTGAAACTGCTACGTTTTACTTTTTTTAAAAAAGTGTACTTTTTTAAAAGTGTAGTCAGTTCTTCTACTTTTACCAGAGTCGTTTTAAACATGAGTATCTGTACTTCTACTTATGTAACGGATGTGTGTACTTTTGCCATCTCTGCTACAGTCATATGTGCTTCAGACTATTAAACACACCAGATCAACAATATTCAATCAATATTGTTTGTCCTCTACACAGGCTACAGTTCTGTAATCTCACGGTTCGGTCCTGTCAGAGTTTGTCTTCAGCTCTACAATCCTCAAACTGTGTGCTGAGAGAGCTGGACCTGAGTAACAATGACCTGCAGGATTCAGGAGTGAAGAAGCTCTCATTTGGACTGAAGAGGCAACACTGTAAACTGGACACACTAAGGTAAATGATTCTCCACTCTACAATAACTACAGTCAGACAGTTTCATATTAGAGCTCTTCATGCTTGAACATGTTAACCCTGGGTGATACTAAACCCCAGATAACAGGAATTATGGTTTATCAGTGATTCTGTTTCACACTGCTCATACTATACCTGTTGTTAACCCTCAGGGGTCTGAGGTGATTTTGGCCCCTGAGATGTTTTGACATGCCCTGACATCTGTGCTGATTTCAGCTACTTATTACACAGAACTGGCCAACATGTGTTTTATTAGTGTTCAGCACAAACTGAGCTACAATAATATGTGGGAAATATTGATGTACATGCTTGTGTTTTAGAAATAAATATTATGTGTGGTTAGTAGGTTTTAGAGGGAAAAAAAATTGCTGAAATAAGATCTAAAACCAGACTGAATGTGCCTGAACGAGACTTTAGAGTAAGCAGTCTTGTAGACTAGATTATTTACTGCACAATTATGTGAAATTATTCTGTTCTCTCATTCAGAGAAAACATTACAATGATCTACATTTTGTTAAGTGTGTTTTGGGTGATCTCAGCTGTATGTGTGAGTGACAATGCTCATGAATAATTCACACCTGAGAGACAACAGACACTCAATGCTTGTTGTGTTACTGCTGTGTGACCATGTAAACACTCTGGGTGAACAATATACAGTGCTCAGCATATATAAGTACAGCCCTCACTAATCTCTCTTTTACATTCATAGTTTAATAGGAAGCTCTACAGTATTATATTTGTGCATATACAATAGATTAGCCAAATCTGGAGCTCATCTGACAAAATAATTTATGATAACGGTGTAAAAACTAGTGCACTCATATTTATGTGTTATAGAAAAAAATATCAAATACAAAATTAAACAGAGTAAAAATCAAGAGAAGCAAAACAATGGAAAAATAAATAAATTTTGAAGGTTTTTGCAATATTTACCTTGAATTTAATTGTATTATGTTATATATTATTACTATTATTATTAATATTATTATTATTATGTTATTATTTTATATTATCTTTTGATTTCTAATTATGTTTGGTGACTAAAATATGATGTTCATAAATAAATCTGTTTAATAAATGTGTTCTGTTTAAATGCAGCAGAATACACTGCCTATATTGACTGAGAAATGGAGGAAAGTCTTGGTTTTCAGAATGGGCTGTCCTCCATTATGCTGAGCGCTGTATGTGACTTATACAGCCGCACATATAATATATATTTGAAATGGTGTAAAACGTGTTCGCCAAACTCTCTTGTGCATTAATCCAGCATTTAATAATCATTTCTGAATGAGTTTGAGACACTGAAGTAGAGGAATGACAAACGCTTTAAACAAGAATAAATCAGATTTAAACATGAAAAACAATTACTGTAAATCTAAATCATATTTGAAGAGCTTTAATATAGATTTCACTAATAGTTGCAGTCTTAGTTCACTGTTTGAAAACTTTAACAGGTTCAACTACAGTAAAATAACTAAAAAGTAAAAATATAAACATGTATAACATGAGTGACTTTCTGAATAAAGCAGCATCAGATCACGGTGGTCCCGTCAGGCTAAATGGTTCGTAATTTCAATTTATTCCTGAGTGAAAATGAAACACCCTTTCCAGCTAGTGTGCTGTGATTGTTTGTGGGTGTGCATGAGTTCAGGCATTGCCGGGAGAATTCTGTGCATTATCTAACAAGACTACATTTGTTTTCAAAATGACTTGGACAGTTCACCAAGCTTTATGCAGGCATGTCTCTCTTGTGTATTTCTTATGTATTAGTGGAGATTCTGCTGTTTTTTCTGAGCACAGTGTACATAGAGCCTGTGCCTCACAGGGATGATTGTAATATCAAAGCCTTGTGGTCATGGCCGCACTATAAATAATGAGCTCAGATTTAGAAACTAGACATGGGGCTCTATTTTGACGATCCATGCACAAAAGCACAAAACACAGGGCGCAAACGCTTTCAGGGGGTGTAAGAACGAATTTTTGCTAATATAAAGAGAGAAAAATTCGCTTTGCGCCGTGGCGCATGGGCTAAAAGGGTTGAGCTTATTCTCTTAATGAGTTATAGGTGTGTTTTGAGAATAAACCAATCAGAGTGTAACCCTCCCAAAAAGGGCATAAAGTATTCACACACAACACAAGTTATTTGCTGGACAAAATACAGTATTTATTTTGTGCCACAATAATCAAGTAAACGTCAAACACTCAATTCATTTAAATACTAGTTTCACTTTTATTTTATACAATAATCTTAAAGATTAAAATTCCACACAAGGGGAGCAGCAGGTAGGGAATCAAAAGGACATAAAGTTCATGATGTAAAGATTGTTAGCGGACTGCATAAAAATTATTAGGTAAGGCAATTAAAATGACCACCACAAGGCATTTAACAAGGGGTATCAACCGTAATTGTGCAACATCATCATTTCACATCAACCCAGAGTTGTAATACACCACACAGTAAATCTCATAAATATAAATGTATAAATAACACCCATAAATAGACTCCACACAGCAATCAAATCATAAGCTACCATCAATACCACTCCAGCTAAATATCAAGCCGTCGTCATTTAACATTTCCCGTATGGAGCGTGATGCTAGCCTGCGCTCATCCCCCGTCACACGCACACACACACACACGCACGCACACACAGACAGACAGACAGAGTACAAGCGCCGGGAGCAATCAAACTCACTCAAACTCCCGGCGAACAAAATGCAATGCACACACAATGACCCCGCAACAGTATAACTGTGCTGCTGGCCCGCTTACCCGCTACCGGACGTGGGATACAGCGAGTGAAAAGTCAACAGCGGCCGCCGAAACTTGAGTCCGGGAAACCCCAGCACTACCAATTATCCCTCCCAGTCATTCGCTCGCGCACAACATCATGCCCACGTCCCGGCACGATAGCCTTGGCCAGCGGCTCAGCAGCACCTGCAAATCAAAAACCAAGAAAAACCCCTCCTGACCCAGAAACTACAATCGCTTTTAAAGGCTTGGACTCATTACAAATTGAACTCAGCTGTTCATCTCCTGGAAACGTCATAGACGCAAATGACGCCAGTACACATCATCCTGGTTTGGGAAGCACCGCTTACATATGTGTGTCTGTGAGAAAGTGGAAACGAAGGAGAAATGTATCAATAAGTCATGACTGCAACAGTAAGTGGCAAAAAAAAGGTTTAAAAAGACTTTTATTTTGGCGTGACGTGTGACGTCATAAGCCTGCGCCGTTTCAGCGCTGTGATCAACTGGAGAAAGGTTTGTTTTAAAGCGTTTACACTTCTATAAACCGATTGATTAAAGTTTCAGTTTTTTTCATTCAGTGCTAAATTATGTAACTGCTGTTGACAATATTATTTTACCCTTTATACAACATAGCCTCATTACTGTGAGTGAAATAGCACAATTGCTTGAATAAAGATAGGATAAACTTTTTGTCCTCAAGAGGAAATTTGTCTTGTGCAAAAAAAGTGCTACACATTGCTGTAAGCAGACAATAAGCTAAATAAAACAAACAAAACAATTAAGAACATACATAAATAATAAAGTTTAAAAAAAGTTACAGAGATGTGTGTAATAAGTTCTTTATTGAAAATTTAATTTATTAAATAGTATATTGTAATTCCATTATAAATATACATCACTATATAAGAAAAAGTAATGTTACTAGTTTTAATCAGGTCATTTGTGGCTATTGTTTCTTGCTTGAACTTATCAGAGTTATTTTTGTTAATCACTCTCCTATAAAGAAACTGTTGAAGTAAGTGTTAAGAAGTTATTTTGTTTCTGTTCATTGTTTTATTTATTTTAAACAGGATAAAGCGACCAAACTCAGAGAAAAACTCCTGCTGAAGCGACTGATCTCCACACTGTTATAAAGATGGCGTTTATTAAAGAGGAGAGTGAAGATGTGAAGATTGAAGAAACATTCACAGTCAAACAGGAAGATCTGCAAGAACAAACAGGTTAATTTTTATTCTCAAAGACCAACTCAGTCATTTAATCCTCATTCAGATGTATTTTAATAATAAGAATATTAAATTAAATCCATCTTGCAGCTCTTTTAACTCTATTTGTCATAATGGTTTAATAATTTTCCTCACAATAACATTTGTTTAAACGTGCTCCATGTATTTACTGCTGAAGACATCGCGGACAGATTGCTGTGTAGATTTAGTTTGTTTTAGTTTTTAAAACTTTTAAAACATTTGTTCATTTTAAATTATTTTTTAAAGAAAGTTTATTTAGGAAAAAAGTGTGTGGATACAAGTAAAGCTTGCATGTTATTACACACAATTTAAAATCTTTTGCTAAGAAATATCTATAATATATATTTTTTTTAATTTATTATTGTATTATTAAATGTATTAAATTATCATTTTTTTTAATAGGGCAAATTAAAATCTTTCATCTGGGCTATTTGAAAAATCCCTTAGCCTTTAGCCCTTTATGAGTCTAAAATTGTCATAATGGTCTTAAAAATGTCTTTAAAAGTCTTACATTTAACTTGGTGAAACCTGCAGAAACCCTGGTTTAAAGTATAAAAAAAAAAAAAACATGGATGCCCCCAATATTAAATATGCTGAATAAAGTGGACAATAAAATAATTAATTATTATAAAGCATTGTACAGAATTCTAAACTATAAGATGTTGCTGCAGGGCGACATGAGACTAAATGAACAAACTATTGTGGAACAATAACGTTTAACATTGCGCTGACTACAACTGGCCAACAAACTAGTCTAAAATGACTTTTGCTGCTTAAGAAATGGATTACAGCATGCTGAGGATATGCAGAGATTTGAGTGTAAAGTTCGTCCGTATTGACCATATTCTTCACGTACCAGCAGGCGCCGCCATTTGAATCTTTTTGCTCTTGACTTTTATTAAAGAAATAATTTTAGATACTAAAAACAGTGTTGTGCTGCTGAGGCATGGGACGATAACCATTTTCAAGGTATAACGCAGTTTGAAAAAAGTCGAGGTTTTAAAACCGCCAATATTTTCTGCTGTACCGTTCATCGCTATATGTTTTTTTTTATATATATTTTGTTTTAAGTTTTTAGGACAACAGTATCTCCAGAGAAAAGAAAAGATCTCCAAAGATGCCATTTTAAATTGTAATGAAATCTCTGTTTATGAAACAAATGAAGACAGAAGTCAATGATTCAATTGAGTGATTTAGCCTTACATGTTTACTGCTCCAAAATACTTTAAAAGTTTCTCAAAGGAAAATGTTTTGTGTTCAAAGAGGAAAAAGTGTCTGTTTACCCAGACATTTAAAAGAATATATTTTAGAGGAGTATTCACAGTACCATGAAAATGTGTGTGAATGCACAAACCAGCAGGCTGAGAACATTATAAACATCTGAAATGTTGTTTTGGTCATTCTAAAACGCCTGAACCGTTTCAGTATTCATGCTATTGTATTATTGATGACCTCCAGAGCGTCTGTTCTCTGCGTCTCATGGCTTCAAACAACACGTGTTAATTTTGTACCAGCATTGTCCTCTGAGGTGAAAGTCATTTATTAAATAAATAAAAGATTCATGTAGCTTCTTCTACTGCAGGAAATTCTGTTTTTACAGTTCATATTTGGGGCCTGTTAATCAGGAAGTGATGATTTTGTTGTCTTTGATTCATTGGATGGAAACGCAGCTTTATTCGCACATTTTTTATGTGACATCCCAGTTTTGCGCATAAATTTAATTCACATTTTTGGATGAAATCATAGCTATTGCCTACATTTCAGTAACACAAAGAACAAAGTCACGTAGCAGAATGGCATGTCCTTTCTTAATGAATAATTAGCTTAAATTCACTAACCTTCGACGGACATGTACTGTAACTAGATTAATGGGATTATTACTAGTTCTAAAAAGATTTTTTAGTCCTGCTAACATTCTAAATGTCATATCAACCTCTACCACTTGATAGGGCTGTGCAATTAATCGAAAATCTGGTTTCAATTTAGATTTTGGCTTCTAATGATTATGAAAATCCATTAATCGAGATAAACGATTATTCCATCATATACCGCTCCCTTTCCAGTTGTACACACTTGTTGCTCTGCAGAGCTCAGTTCCATGTGAAAATAACTAAAAGCATGTGCTGTAATGCAACATTTGCAGCACGGGACGCGCATCATTCCTATTTTTAAAAGTGCATAAGTGCACATGCTCTGTGTGTGCGCTGCGCTTAGCCTTGGACAGGCTCGGAGACAAGCAGAGAACACACATCTAATGCCATCTTAATGTGAGCGCTTTAATGGTCAAGTACATGCAAATTTGTGTAGTGTTTAGTGATTAGTCATAATAACCCTTGTTTGTATAATATACAAACAAGTTGAGAATCAAAAGACACTTGAAAGAGAAACCATATCAGAGCCGCACTATTCCTAAAGTGACAGCGCACAATGTTCCTGCTGCCGACTGTTTTTAGCATTAATCAAACAACAAAGGGAGAAAATCCCTCACTGCTCTTGACTGAAAGACTTTTGAAGCTCAAATGTTTTTCTGAAATTGAAAACTCTTGAGTATTTAATCTCTCGGTAAATCAACTCAGAGATCAAGATTAGGTTGGTTGAACCTCCTTACTGAAACAGGCCCGAGGTCATCATGACATGATTGGCAATTGTCACTGTTTGTAATTGTACTCTGTTTATCCTGAGAGCTGATGCGGAGTATTCTTAGGGCTTTTCACACTTCAAATTGTTAACCCTGGGTCATTCTATACCTGGAGAAATTCTGGGTTATCTGTAGTCACCTTCCACACTGCTCATGCTATACCTGGGTTTAAAAAAATAATCCTGGGTGTTCATTAACAGACAGTTCACATTTTTAAACCCTGGGTTATCATTATTATTTTGTATATTTACGTTGTTACTGTCTCTGATTGGACAAACCACAAGTAACCTTTTTAGATGGCATTTGTGCATATGGTCAGATATATACAATGTCACCAAGTAGGTCTTCAGCTAAGCCTTGGGGCATACACAAAGGCAAGAAAACAAAGACAAAAGTACAAATAAATGAAAACAAGTAACAAAGCATGTAATCTTGCCATCTCCTCATCACTCCCGTTTAAAGCAAACGTGGCATTAAGAATTTGCATAAGTTTTATACAATAATGCAAACTTGCAAATATAAGCGTGAATTATGCATACTTGCTATGGACATGCAGGATTTGTCTCAATCGAGGAAACAACACGAGTAATCTAGAGCGAGTGCATTTGGTTATTTCCATTTAAAGTCACAGGCACAAAAAGAGCTTGGTTTGCCCCTGACCCCCAAAATTAAATATTCTACAAGGTACATGATCAAATTTTGAGCTGAAACCTCAGACACATTCTGGGATCACCAAAGACTTATTTTACATCATGGAAAAAATGGGTAATTGTAGGAACCTTTTAAAGGGATAGTTGATGCAGAAATGAAAATAGCCTCACCATTTACTCTTCCTCGTGTGGTTTTAAACCTTTATGAGTTTCTTGATCCTGTTAAACACAAAAGAAGATATAAAAAAAAAACTCTACTGGCTTACTGTGTTCCGCAATAAAGGAAAACATCCATTTCTTGCTTGTCGCTTTGAGCCTTCATACTAAAGCTAATTTTTTTTTATTTTTATTTTTTTTTAGATCTGATGGTGCTGAAAGAAGAGACTCATCAACAGATTGAAATAGATGAGAAACAGCAGTTTGAGAAACCCCAAGAAATAGCGACTGATGAAAAACCCACACTGACTAAAAAGACTTCATCACACGGAAGACCTCGGAAATCCAAATCGGGGTATAATTTCAGCTGTAAACAGTGTAGAAAAAGTTTCAGTCAGAAGTCAAAGCTTGATGTTCACATGAGAGTTCACACTAGGGAGCAACCTTACACCTGCGAACAGTGTGGGAAGAGTTTTGGTCAAATACAAGGCTTTAAAGCCCACATGAGAATTCACACTGGAGAGAGGAAGTTCACATGCCGAAAGTGTGAAAAAAGCTTTTATCATGCTGGACACTTTGCAGCACACATGAGAATTCACACTGGGGAGAAGCCTTTCAGCTGTAAACGGTGTGGAAAGAGTTTTTGTCAAAAGCCAAACCTTGATGATCACAAGAGAGTTCACACAGGGGAGAAACCTTACACCTGCGAACAGTGTGGAAAGAGTTTTAGTCAAAAACAAAACTTTAAAACCCACATGAGAATTCACACTGGAGAGAGGCCATACACATGCCAAAAGTGTGGAAAAAGCTTCCGTCATGCAATAAACTTGGAAGTACACATGAGAACTCATACTGGAGAAAAGCCTTTCAGCTGTAAACAGTGTAGAAAGAGTTTCAGTAAAAAGCCGAACCTGATTGCTCACATGAGAGTTCACACTAGGGAGAAACCTTACACCTGCGAACAGTGTGGAAAGAGTTTTAGTCAAAAAAGAGACCTTTACATCCACATGAGGATTCACACTGGAGAGAAACCTTACACATGCACAGAGTGTGGTAAAGGTTTCTCACATATAAGCACACTCAATCACCACATGAGAACTCACACTGGAGAGAAACCGTTTGCATGTGCTCAGTGTGGAAAGAGCTTCACAACCAAACCTAGCCTCAAGAACCACATGAATGGTCACACTGGAACCATAGTGTTCACATGTGATCAGTGTGGAAAGAGTCTCACACGCAAAGACACCATTAAGAAACACATGAAGATTCACTCAAGAGAGGATCGTTTTAGATGCTGTGAGTGTGGAAAGGGCTTTAAAAGTAAAAGAAGCCTCAACACTCACATGAAGATTCACAATGGAGAGCTGAGTCCTTAACATTAGCCGCATTTCCACTATCAGGCCAGTGCGAGCCAGGGCTTTAATCGGGCCGGGGCGGGCCAATAGCCCGCGAGGTTGAGAAATGAGGCCGAAATCATGTCGCGTTTCCACTGACGGGCTAATAGCTCACAGCGCGTCACGCAAACACCGCCCACAGAACGTCCCCGAATCAAACGTCACACAACCCGCCCACTTCAGATAAAGCACACAATAGAATCATCACGAAACGAAACCATTAAAATGAAGACAACCGAAACAAACAAATGACACGTTACTGTACAGCAGTACATGAAATGTCTTTACGCACAGACCTGTGTATTTCCATTCATTACATTTGTTTACTCGCCGACCGACTGGCATTGTGCATCGACTGCTCTCGCCGAACGCAGGGACCCATCACAGAGAGCGCACACATCCATAATATAAAGCCACAGAAATTCTCCTTTATAGCTCGATATTGCATGTATTTTATAACATCCTCGTTTTGATAGAAGTCGTGTTAAGTGTTTCAGCATAAGAGCGAGTAGCCTTAAAAAATATAGCCATATTTGTTGCGCTCGGCAGCTATTCACTAAAGCTCTTCATTTAAAGTTTCATTTATAAATTTAACCACGTCATATAAAAACATAAACAGTTGTTTGAGGATATAGAACACATTTTGTGTTTGGACTTTCCCCCATATGCGTTTAAAGCAGCGAGTGCTGCGCAGGACTGAGTGACAGAAAAAAAGGTATAGGAGATTCTGCTTTCACTCACCCAAATAATGCTCTGTTTGCGCGATTTGATTAATATCATCGTATCCAAATACTTTATAAATATTTACTTATATAAATATTTACTTTATATAAATATTTCAAACCTTCTCCGGTGTTTATTGTTTTTAAAAAATATCGAAAATCTTTTTTTTTTTCAGACAGGTCTTTGCAAAATGAAAGTTAGGCTATGTGTGGCTTTAAAATGGTTTGATTTGTATATTGTATATAGGCTACCTACATTGCTATAGTTAGCTTTTGTTTATTTTATATTGGTTAATTTATTTAATGTGATTATATATATATCCGATATTTGTAATTCTTTAAATTATATTTCAATATAGGCTACCTTAGGCTATTTTATCAAGATATGACAATATATTGTTTAAAGTCTACGAAAGTGGGCACGTATTTTGTTAAGTTTATGTCTTTCTGTTGTATTTATATGTGTATTATCTCCAAAGTAAATAAAGAAAAAAGCCGCTCGCGGCATAACAGAGCTGTGAAGGAGCGCTTTTGCCCGGTCTCACACACACATACAGGCATCTAAACGTGCACAAACAAACAAACATTTTAAATTTGACAAAAACTCTCGAAAACCTTTACTGTCTGATGTGTTTTTAATATGGTGTAAAGATTATTATGCGTTATTGAAACATAAAGGAGGACGCAGCAAAGAACGTCACTATAAATTAAAACTACTTTATTATTTTATGCAGCAGCCTTACATTTAAAAGGGAAACATAAGGGTGATCATACGCAAAAGGACCCCAGACTATAAAGCTAGATGTTTTCTTTCCCTTATTTCTTTATTTGTTTGGCGCATGTACTCATGTGCAATCAGAAAACTGCCCGCCTCTCCTTTCACTCCGCCCCGAAGCCCCAGCTGGCCCTCCTTGGCCCAAGGTATTCGGCGGGCCGAAAAAGGCCAGCCGCTGGCCCCAAGAAAGCCCCGCTTTGGCCCGATTAGGCCCCGGAAGTGACAGTGGAAACCCCACTGGCCTTGGCTCGCCCTGGCTCGCTCGCTTTAGGCGCGATAGTGGAAACGCGGCTATTGTCACCTTGAAAAACCTGCCGTGACCCGGATTCGAACCGGGGTTGCTGCGGCCACAACGCAGAGTACTAACCACTATACGATCACGGCGAGCTATGAAACAGCCATTGTGACCTATGTGTGGTATGTTCCTCCCTGTGATAAGCCCCTTTCTCTTCAGTGAGAACACTCTTTTGTTTTTCTCCTCCTACCAGCACAACGCTTTTCCCAAGAAACAATGGAAATGCAAACAATTGACGACTGCTGCAATTTTAAAAAGGGGAAGGACGTAGTCGGCAGGATTCGAACCTGCACGGGGAGACCCCAATGGATTTCAAGTCCATCGCCTTAACCACTCGGCCTCGACTACAAGACTGTCCGTACCGCCATTTCTTTATGCCTAGTACACATATTGTGCATCCGGATGAAACTTTCATCAAGCGATAGCTCAACGGCAAAAGCTGTGGCTCCACAAAATGAGCATCACACGCCCGAACAGAGACTTGAACCCTGGACCCTCAGATTAAAAGTCTGATGCTCTACCGACTGAGCTATCCTGGCACCTCAACAGTAATTTACAAGTAGGCAAGGTTTGGGTTGTGGTCGGCGCAGACCTTTACAGTACACTAAAGTTTACCGTGAGATGGGGTTTTAAGCTTATGGTTGGTGTGGATGTTGCTAAAACACGACAGGTTACTTTGAGGTTGGGTTT